TAGTCCCAGTACACGTTCACACTTGTAGTCCCAGTACACGTTCACACCTGTAGTCCCAGCACACGTTCACACCTGTCTTCCTGTTTCCACAGTGTGTTTCCTCGGGAGCTGAAGGAGGTGTTTGCATCGTGGAAGCAGCAGTGCATCGCCCGCGGCCACCAGCAGGACATCAGCAAGCGTCTGATCAGCGCCTCGCTGTTCCTGCGCTTCCTGTGTCCCGCCATCATGTCGCCGTCGCTCTTCCACCTGATGCAGGAATATCCCGACGACCGGACGTCCCGGACCCTCACGCTCATCGCTAAGGTCATCCAGAACCTCGCCAACTTCACCAAGTGAGTGTCTGCGGGTCAACAGCAGCAGGAGGTTCATGGAGGTGACCTACAGCTCTGCTACCCAAACCCAGCATCAGGTTTTACTTCATACTGTTTTGTTGGGCTGGGAATCACCAAAGACCCCACGATACAATATTAGCACAATACTTAAGTCACGATACGATATTATAACAATACGATAATATCACGATAATGAAGTCATGATACGATATCACGATACTTAAGTCATAACATGTCAAATTCCTCGTATGTTCAACATACCATGGCAATAAATGGTTCTGATTCTGATAACGCGATATTATCGCGATACTTAAGTCACGATACAATATTAGCACAATACTTAAGTCACGATATTATAACAATACGATATTATCACGATATTATATCACGATACTTAAGTCACAATACGAAATTATTACAATACTTCTGTCACGGTACGATATTGTGATATGCTGAGTATGGCGATATCAAACATTGCGATTTATTACCTATTTTCATTCGCAAATATCGTCGACATCTGTTTTATCTAATAATATAAAGTTTTCACTCGGTTCATCTCACTTCAGGTCATTTCTAATAAGCCTAAAGCCATTGAACTAGAATACTTATCATCATCTGTTTTTTTTACTTTGTTTAAGTCATCTAGACTTATTTACACACAGTTCAAATGATAAGGAAATAAAAGATTCTATTTGTATTGCTAGATAAAGCTTGTCATTAGTAGTCAGTCAGTGTGAACTCACTCAAGAGAGTGAGTGTTTCAAAGGCCTAACATGTTGCATTAACACGAGTAGCGAGTCAGCTGTGTGTTTGTTTTTGAGTCCTAAAGGTGAGTTTGATACAATCTGACAACGTGGAAAGGAGCGTCTGAATATGTCCGCGTGTCGTCCGCAGGTTTGGAAACAAAGAGGAGTACATGGCCTTCATGAACGACTTCCTGGAGCACGAGTGGGCGGGGATGATGCGTTTCCTGTCGGAGATCTCGAACCCGGAGACGCTGTCCAACACGCCGGGCTTCGAGGGCTACATCGACCTCGGCCGCGAGCTCTCCGTCCTGCACGCTCTGCTGTGGGAGGTCGTCTCTCAGCTCGACAAGGTGTGTGTGTGTGTGTGTGTGTGTGTGTGTGTGTGTGTGTGTGTGTGTGTGTGCAGTGATGACTTACACAGGCTTTATTAATATTCATTATTTTAAACTAGGAATCCCACACGAAAAGCTCGGTGTTTGAGTTTTCCACCAGCACTTAAACGCATCACGCATGTGTGGTTGAATAACAGGAAAGAGTCTTAAAAACTCCACAAACACAGAAAAACAAATAAAAGTTATTAGATCTGTGAACGTATAAAATACTGATATTTATTCTAGTAGGGATTTATACACACATTTGACTGAATATCTTAATGATATTAATCAGTTATTCCATTTGCACCGCAGGCTGTGTAACACTGACAAGTACACAACAAGAACAACACAATAAAACAGCATCATATAAAAGGTAGAATTTAAATTGTGCAGCGATAATATTTCAAACATTTTCTGTTAATTACAGGTTTTAATATATTTCTGTCTCTGTATTCGATATTATATCTACCAGAGACGTATACGGCTTCTCTACGTCACTCCTCAGTCCATATATGGTCACTTCCTGTTCACTGGTTGTGAAAATAGCAAGAAGGCGACGGACAAACGCTGAACACCTTATAAACTCTTTATAACGTCAGTCCACAGACCAGTGACGTCGTGACGACCCTGGGGTCGCCGTGTGTGTGTGTGTGTGTGTGTGCGCGTGTGCGTGCGTGTGCCTGATGTAAATATGCGCGCGTGCGTGTGCGTGTAAATATGCGATGATGTAACGAGTCACCATCAGCAGCAGAGATCACTCCACTTCATTTAACACATTAACGCTGCGTGGCTGAACGTCACAGCATGGCCTGAAACCCCCCCCCCCCCCCCCCCCCCCCCCCCCCCC